AAGAGCTCAGTATTTATCTCATGACACAAGTGACTATTGAATGTCTGGGCCTGGGGAAAACATTCTAAGGCAGACTGGAGCATGCCTGCCTGTGCTGACAGTTCTTTTGCACCTTTGGGAGGCTGCAACTTTTACTCCCAAAGCTTCTACTAAGTGTAAAGCCTCAGTTCTCAGTCTCCTCTATGTTACACCTTACCGTGAAAAGCAAAACCTCTCTCTAAAAAAATTTTTTTTCAGTTCATTAGGTACAAATCCTCTTATCTCACCCCAAAGAATGACTTGTTACTGTACTAGAGCAGATCTAAGTCCAAAAGACAATGTTACACAGCACCTTGACCCCTAAGGTGCTGTGAGTCTCTCTATAAGTCTCTCTCATAAAGTCTCCACTGCCCAGCCAAAGATACCTGCTTCCTTTATTCAGAGTATTCATCAAATTATGAAAATTAAATTAATTTTTCCTATTCAATGTATCGTTTGATAAATCCCAACACTCTGTGAAATTGAGGAGCTACAGATTAAGATATATAGTTACAGGACAGGGAAAACAAGTCACTTGAAATCTATGACCACTTTAATGACAAAGAAAGCCAGGAGTCCTTGACTACTCTAGTTGAGAGCAGGAGTGAGCAGAAGGTAGAAGTGCCCTCCCTGGGCACCCATGCTCAGTCACCCTGCATGGCATGATGTAAGATGAAAGCATCTGCTGACTCTAAGAGGTATAATTACCACCAGGGTGGGGGTATAATTAAAGTAAGAATAATTTACCTTAAAGAAGATAAAAATTAAGAATTATTAATGATCATAATAATTAGCCTTCTTATATCTAAGAATCACAAATGCTTTACAAGCTGTAATTATCACAGCCGTCCTCTGAGGAAGGGATTCATATCTTACATCTCCTCACTTAACAGAGGGGTGAAGTGATGGGCATGCGGGAAGGCAGAGAGGAGTGGAGTGGTAATGCCTCTTCCATCACCTGTCCCATACATGGTGAAACTAGAAAGGCCCTAAAAGAGCTGACTCCTATTATGGTGTGTGCCTTCATCCCCAAACCCATAGAAATTCATCCCAAATCAAGCAATCCATCTCATTCTGACCTGCTAGCCATTTAAACTGCTTCAATGCAATAAAATTATACCAACAAGGATTTTACAAAACACCTAATCAAAGTAAAAGATACAGGATTGCCTTCAAGGAACTTAAATCCTAACTGAGAAGACAAAACAAGGCTCCATTAAATTAGAGGAAAAAAATGTGGAAAATACACATTAACTAGTGCTAGATTGTATGATGCTGACAATGCTTGCTATGTAAAATTATTTTAATTGCAAGATCACTATATGTAAAGGTCAAGGAAGAGATGGAACTTGTACAGGGCCTCAGAGAAAATACAATAGGTCTTAGACTGGCAGAGATGGGGTCCCACTGAGTGAATCAGTGAATAAGAAGAAACAATAGGAAAACTTGAAAGGTTTAACACATAATCTTAAGAATAAAGTCTTCATTGGAGAGATGTTTAGAGAGCTTACCAAACAATCTTATTTTTTTAAAGCCATCTCAAATCACCCTACTTGGGGACACCTGAGTGGCTCAGTCAGTTAGTTAAGTGACAGACTCTTGGTTTTGGCTCAGGTCACAATCTCATGGGTCATGAGATGGAGCCCCATGTGGGGCTCTGCACTCAGCAGGGAGTCTGCTTAAGGATTCTCTCCCTCTATCCCTCCCCCCACAGGCACCCTCTCTCGATCTCGCTCTCTCTCCCTCTCTCTCTCTCTAAAATAAATACATGAATCTTTTTAAAAGTAACAAATAAATCAACAAATAAAATCACCCTCCTTAGACATTTTCTCAGAGTTCCTTATTGTGGCTCATATTGTGTTCTGGAGAAGCCCATTAGGCTGACAATGACACTAGTACCTTCTATGCTTTATCTAAATTTCCACTTTGGTGGTTTTCCAGTAAAACCAAGACAGGTGGTTTGGTTGCCTGGTCCTAGTAGGATGCCACAGAATGTCAAATCTATTATTGACTTTTTCTGGGTTCTGACAACAGAAAATGGGACAAACACCCTTGGGATAAAGACAAGGAAAATCTAATATTTCCTTAGTTCTGTTAATCCAGCAGAGCTCCACCCTGAGAGATTTCAGCATGGACAAGGCTTCATGATTGACATCATAGTAAAGCATCTGAGTGATATGAATCTTATTTTCTCTTTTCAATTCCTCTCTAATGAAGAGCCCAAGTCTCAAAGCCAAGTAACAGTACAGTACTGTAACTGTGCTCTAGATCCAACAGCATTAACTTTTAATAAAGAAGGGCATTCTTGCAGAATGGAGCAGGGGCATTTGGGTTCTTCCTGGTCCAGTCAGTATAGTTACTATTATCTGACCTCTCAGTGCCTCCTTCTACAGTCTTATAAAAGAAAGATAATGAGATTTCCTGTCTATAAAAAGAATGAGGATCCTCAGATTATTCTTTTTTGATTAACCATGATGAGTAAACACTGCTACCTTTCCCAGTTGTTCTTAAAAAAAATAGATTGAAGCAATTTTTTAGGACTTGATAATTTTCTACATTCTTTGGCATTTACCAACTTTTTAAGGAACTAGAAAACAAAAATTATTTCCCTGTTCAAACATTATGTCAGAAGCTTCTTTTAAAACAGGATTTTAAAATAATGATACTGTATTAAACAAAAGAACATTATATAGTAATGAGGGCCACTTCATTAGGATAATATCAAATCTGATTTTAGAATTTAGCATTTGAATCCACTTATATTTTTTCTGATGATGTACAAAGAACATTAAGAAAGATAGAGTAATTCTCTTAGGTTTTTCAGGTTTTTAAATATTTTGCCTTATGTTGTGTTGACTTTAAACAAAAGTGGGTAAAAATCCATCATTGGATTAAAGATCAAGCTTCAATCAGAATAGGGGAGGAGTTTTCTGTTACTATGAAAGCAATTTCAGCCATTTTTTTCAAGGCTCTTCATAGGCACTTTTTTGGGAAGTTTGCCTTTATATTATTTTGCTTGCTCAACCATGATTTTAGAATGATTAATATTTTCCCTTTTTTCTCAGCTTGATTACTGTCTAGTCTCCTTTTGAGTGTATTGACTACAGGAAGATAATGCAATCACAGACAAATGCATACCACCACCTGGGCTGAGGTTCCCAACAGATCACACACTGGTAGATAACAACAGAATCAGACATAAAACAGGGTTTGTCCAGGGAATTCCTTGAAGGACACCCATAAAAAAAGGCTATCCCTCTGTGACAAAAAGAGGTTCTGAGATTATCTGTGGCTACATTGTACACAATGTTCGTGATGGTTCTTTCTTAGAATCCAACTATTAAGAGAACTATATAAACCCCTAAGTAGAAAGGAAAAAAGAAAAAAGTTCACTCTTCACTAAGAAGCTACTATATGAAGTTTACTACCTGATCCCAAGAAATGGTGACAGTTCCAGGAAAATTCCTAGATCATAGGATTCAGTGCTGAAGTCCTTAAGGATGCAGAAGTGAGCCAGGCTTACAATTGTCTTCTGGTGACTTACCACTTCCACTTTCCTCTTCACCCAATTCTGGGATAGCAGTAATTGAGGGGAGAAATAGAAGTCAACTCTATTTCCATTTGGGCCAATCTGCACATAATGTACTAGCCACCAAGATTAAAGTTATAAATCTTCACATTCTACTAAAGGGCACTACAGAGTCTCCTCAAAATTCAGAAAACCAATAGTTGGTTGTATTGGACAAAGGAGAAGATGGAAACGCTGAAAGCCATTGAATCATTTAATAGTCTCCATAAACCTATTGTGAACCAAAGTTTCGTATAGTCTAAAATGTAAGGGTGGAAGTCACTACCACCAGGGATAAAATCCAGTTCCTTACAATAAAACAATGCTGAGAATTGCAAATGATCACCAGAGTTGAGAAAGCCCTGACAGATATAATGGGCTAGAATGACCGATTATCTTAATGTGCTTCCAGGAGAAGCAGAGTCAAGTGTTTAGGTGTCATAATCATTAGCAACTTAGGCTGAGTAGGATGATTATATCTACAATAATGCATTACACCAGCTCTTTTTCTCTAGGGGCATCGATATGTTAATGAGAAAAGAAATGAGCAAACTTCATTTAGATGTAAGAATGAAATTTTATAGATTTCATGTTCTCTTATGAACAATTAATGAAAATATATTTTTCAGATGCCAAAATTGCTTACCAAGGAGGCAATTCCCAATCTGTAGGAAAATCATCATAAGACCCACAAATACAAATGCAAACTTCTTCCCACTTGCATTTTATTTTTTTAAGATTTTATTTATGTATTCATGAGAGACAGAGAGAGAGAGAGAGAGAGAGAGAGAGGCAGAGACACAGGCAGAAGGAGAAGTGGGCTCCATGCAGGGAGCCTGACGGGGACTCGATCCCTGGACTCCAGGATGACTCCCTGGGCTAAAGGCAGGGGCTAAACCGCTGAGCCACCCAGGGATTCCCCCCCCCCACTTGCATTTTAGAGAAAAAAACTGAAACCAATTCCTTACACCCTCTCATCCTAGAATTGCTATATTAATTGGTTCTCATCAGTTATGCTAAAGTTCCTGTTTAACTCCACTCTAGAATTTATATCTTTTATATAGTAAATGGCTTAGATTTTACTACTTTTTATGAAGTCATAATTAAGATTCTGAACCTTAATTTCTTTGATTGTTTAATTTTAGCACTTTTAGAAAATGACAGATTCCGTCAAATATTCTATCCATTCATGTCAGGTGGGACCAGTACCTTAACTGTCAGAAAGCAAGGTCTGTGAACCTCGTGCCAAATAGCTACGTGAGCAAATAGTGAGATAAACAAGTCCTTCATGGAGACAGAGGTGGAGCTGGGCTTGGTTAGGAATGAATCAGGCCATCCCACAGAGTGGGTGTCTCCTTCCCAAGTTGCTCTTCAAGGCACAATTAAATCCCCTATAAAAGGCCCAGGTCCCAGTTGCCCAGTACACTTGCCAGCAGTGTCAGCGAGGGCTCAGCTTCCTTTGGTGAAGTGGGTAAGTCCCAGTCAATGGGATCATGTTCTTCTGCATGACTCATTTTCCAGCTGTAATAGATGTTGGGTGGGGATGAGGAGGGTCTAGGTGCCAGAAAGGATCAGCATCTTACAGTGATGTCATACTCCAACTAACTCCATGCCATCTTATAGCTGAAACCATCACTTGAATGGAAACATGGCTCTTCTCCCAAGGCTCTGAGCTCTATAAATTTGTTTGCACATCAGGGGTTGGAGGATGGTCATGTGTGACTCTAAGGGGGTTCATCTTCCTAAAAACTGTCATCTCGAAAAGTCACCAATCCTCAGTACTCTTTTTATATTGGTTCTACTCTCTATGGGCCATCTTCATGTATTTATGACATCTGAGGTATTGGAGTTGAGAAGTAACTAAAGAAGCCAGCCAATAACTGAATATTTGCAACATATCTGAGTTGATGCAGATAACATGTATTCTATCTTCCCCATTGTTATATCTGAGCATTATAATGCCATCTTTGACTAGGAAGAAGTGGTGCTTAATCTTAGAACTGGTGACTTATGAATTATATATGTAGATCCTGTATGTTCTATAATGTTGGAAAATAATCCATATTCCCTGTTAATTTTTCTGGTTACCACCAAATGTTTTGCTGCCACAATTAGATCTACATGGCTTCTATTCACTTTTAAATATTTTCAGATCTTCCTTTACCTTTTGGCTTTCACTTATTCTCTTTATTCAACTTTAGAGGAAGATACTTATGAGTAGCAACATATCAAATTTAAATTTCTGTTCTTCACTATCTGATCTGAAATATTCTAGGGAGTAGGAAAAGAGAGAAGGAAATGATATGGATAATCCAGATTGAGTGGACAATCAAAAGCTGACTACAGGATAGTCTGAAAATAATTCCCTGGCTTAAAATTTCTTAGAATCTGTCTTCCCCATTCTTTTTTTTAATTTTTTTATTTATTTATGATAGTCACAGAGAGAGAGAGAGAGAGGCAGAGACACAGGCAGAGGGAGAAGCAGGCTCCATGCACCGGGAGCCCGACGTGGGATTCGATCCCGGGTCTCCAGGATCGCGCCCTGGGCCAAAGGCAGGCGCCAAACTGCTGCGCCACCCAGGGATCCCAGTCTTCCCCATTCTAAGTATTCAAAGATTAAAAAAAAAAAAAAGCCTTTGAAAGCCAAGGTTAAAAATAACTACTGTTGTAAATTTGGGGCTCTAACTAAAATAGTGTGGATGAAGCCTCTCCAAGATCAGAAATAGAGTTTTGATTCTGGATCCTTTCTTATTCTCCTAGATTTACTTGAACGTGAAGGAAAGAAAAAAAATGTCTCCACTTCTGAGAAGCATCTTCAATATCACTGAAATGTTTAATCAATATGCCTCACATGATTGTGATGGGGCAGCACTAAGCAAGAAAGACCTGAAGAACCTCCTTGAAAGGGAATTTGGAGATGTACTTCGGGTAAGAAATAAGAAACGAAAATCTATTGATTTAGGGTTTAAAATGTCTTCTCAGAAGGGGTCATAGCAAAGAATAATGACCTTTTATCTATTTATACCATCACAGCCCTACACTGCATTCCCTATTCATTTTTCTTTTTTTAAGATTTTATTTATTTATTTGAAGAGAGAGACCTCACACATGCTCAAGTGGAGACAGGGAGAGGGGAAAGCAGACTTATGCTGAGTATGGAGCCCATTGTGGGCTCAATCCCACAACCCTGAGATCATGACCTGAGTGGAAGCCTAGAGTCTGGTCTGGCACTTAACCCACTGAGACACTTAGGCACTCCACCCTTATTCATTTCTGAGTTTAAAGGTACTTAACTGGCATTGTAGTCTGAATACTAAGGAAGTAGCTAGCAACTATTTCATGTACTTGATGGTAACATCATTGTGAATGAACTGTTCATGCGAAGTTATCACCAAAGATGTCAGATCGAACTAAACTTGGAAGGAACTTAAATTTACTTCCAAATTTTAACAATTAAAATCAGCCTGATCTCTAGTAAAATGATGTTAACATGTTAACAAAACATAAATGTTTTGTTCTGTCTTCAAACGTGGGATAAAAATCAAGCAGGGGTACCGGCTATTTCAGACAGAACTAGCTGCTGTAAAACTTCACAAATTTTCGTTGTATTTCTCTCTTGAAGGTTAGTTCATTCTTATTCACCCAGCTTAAGAGAACATGGATTCTTTTGATCAGCATTAATTTACAAGTTACAAAAATTTTCAACAAATGTATGCTTTAAAATGAAGTGTTCACATTTTACATGGGGACCAGACTTGATACACACTGGATGTTTTCCTAATTGCTCTTAATGTCTTTTGAGTGTCAGCATATCACAAAATATTCATTGTGTCTATGACTGAAAGTTTACTACTTGTAAATAGTGCACTGTAAAATTTTTGTCTTCATTTTTTTCATAGAGACCACATGACCCTGAGACAGTAGATCTGATCCTGGAACTTCTGGATCGCGACTGTAACGGGCTGGTTGATTTCAATGAATTCCTCCTGTTCGTTTTCAAGGTGGCTCAAGCTTGTTATTACGCTCTCAGCCAGGCTGCCGGGCTAGATGAGAAGGGGGCCAAGTGTGAGGGAAAGGATAACCCATTACAAGATCCCAGGCAAAAAGAAGACCAAAGGAGATTTGAGCCCCAGGACACACAATTTGAAGAACGCAGGCAGAAGAGACAGGAACTGGAGAGGGAGCTCGCAGAGGAGGAGCAGCAGCGGCTGCAGAGGCGAGAACAGGAAAGGCACCTGGAAGAGGAAGAGCATCTGCAGAGGCGCAAGGGTCGAGAGCCAGAGACACTTCCTGATCAAGAGCAAAGGCGAGAGAGGCAGGCGCAGCGGGAGCTGCAAGAGGAAGAGCATCTGCAAAGGCGGGAGCGCCAAGAGCAAGGCGAGCGGGCACTCGAGGAGGAAGGCGAGCAACTGCAACGGCAAAGGCGCCAGGAAAGGCACCTGGAGCAGGAGCTGCGGCGCGAACAGGAGAGGAGTGTGCAAGAACTGAGGCGCGAGGAGCGCGAGGAGCAGCTCCTGGAGCAGGAGCTGAGGCGCGAGCAAGAACTAAGGCGCGAGCAGGAGCAGACACGTGAGCAGCTGAGACGCAAGGAGCCGCGCCTGGAGCAGGAGCTGAGGCGCGAGCAAGAATTTAGGCGCGAGCAGCTGAGACGCAAGGAGCCGCACCTGGAGCAGGAGCTGGGGCGCAAACAAGAATTAAGACACGAGCAGGAGCTGAGACACGAGGAGCAGGAGCTCAGGCGTGAGCAGGAGCTAAGGCGCGAGCAAGAACTGAGGCGCAATGAGCAGCGCCTGGAGCAGGAGCTGAGGCGCGAGCAGGAGGAAAGACGCGAGGAGCCGCGCCTGGAGCAGGAGCTGAGGCGCGAGCAAGAACTGAGGCGCAATGAGCAGCGCCTGGAGCAGGAGCTGAGGCGCGAACAAGAACTGAGGCGCAATGAGCAGCGCCTGGAGCAGGAGCTGAGGCGCGAGCAGGAGGAAAGACGCGAGCAAGAACTAAGGCGCGAGCAGGAGCTGAGACGCAAGGAGCCGCGCCTGGAGCAGGAGCTGAGGCGCGAGCAAGAACTAAGGCGCGAGCAAGAACTGAGGCGCAATGAGCAGCGCCTGGAGCAGGAGCTGAGGCGCGAGCAGGAGGAAAGACGCGAGCAAGAACTAAGGCGCGAGCAGGAGCTGAGGCGCAAGGAGCCGCGCCTGGAGCAGGAGCTGAGGCGCGAGCAAGAACTAAGGCGCGAGCAAGAACTGAGGCGCAATGAGCAGCGCCTGGAGCAGGAGCTGAGGCGCGAGCAGGAGGAAAGACGCGAGCAAGAACTAAGGCGCGAGCAGATGCTGAGGCGCAAGGAGCCGCGCCTGGAGCAAGAGCTGAGGCGCGAGCAGGAGGAAAGACGCGAGGAGCCGCGCCTGGAGCAGGAGCTGAGGCGCGAACAAGAACTGAGGCGCAATGAGCAGCGCCTGGAGCAGGAGCTGAGGCGCGAGCAGGAGGAAAGACGCGAGGAGCCGCGCCTGGAGCAGGAGCTGAGGCGCGAGCAGGAGGAAAGACGCGAGGAGCCGCGCCTGGAGCAGGAGCTGAGGCGCGAGCAGGAGGAAAGACGCGAGCAAGAACTAAGGCGCGAGCAGGAGCTGAGGCGCAAGGAGCCGCGCCTGGAGCAGGAGCTGAGGCGCGAGCAGGAAAGACGCGAGCAGCTCAGACGCGAGGAGCAGCGCCTGGAGAAGCAGCAGAGGAGCGAGCAGCAGCTGGCTGAGGAGGTGGAGCAGGAAGAGGCACGTGAGCGGGGCAAGTGCCGCACCCCAAGGTGGCAGTGGCAGCTCGAAAGTGAGGCGGAAGCTCGTCAGAGCAAAGTTTACTCCAGGCCCCGCAGGCAGGAGGAAGAGAAGAGGCAGCGCCAGGAGCTCGGGCAGCAGCTGCGGGCGCAGGAGGAGGACGCGCAGTGGCAGCGCGGGGCCCGGCCCCTCGGAGAGGAGCGCGAACGCGGGCTGCAACGGGAGGAGCAGGTGCGCCTGCTGGAGGCGGAGGAAGAGCAGCGCCGCGACTCTAAATGGCAGTGGCAGGCGGAGGAAGAGAGCGAGAGGCGCCGCCAGAGGCTGTCGGCCAGGCCCGCTTTGCAGGAGCAGCGGGAGAGGCAGCTAAGAGCGGAGGAGCCACAGGAGCGGAAACTGTTCCGTGAAGAGGAGCAGCAGCGCCGACGACTCGAGAGGGAGCAGGAGCAGCAGGTCCGTGAGGAGGAGAAGCAGCTCCGGTTGGAGAACTTCCAAGAGGATCAAGGGAGGAAGCTACGCCAGGAGGAGCAGCGCCGAGACCAAAAATGGAGGTGGCAACTAGATGAGGGAAGCCAAAGACACCGCCACATAGTGTACGCCAAGCCAGCTGAACGGGAGCCGCTGAGGGAGGAAGAGCAGGTGCAGAGGGAGGAACGCGAGAAAAGGAGGCGCCAGGAGGAACCGCTCCTGCAGGAACGGGAAGAGCAGCTGCGCCGCCAGGAGCGCGACAGGAAGCTCCGCGAGGAGGAACAGCTCCTGCAGGAACGGGAAGAGCAGCTGCGCCGCCAGGAGCGCGACAAGAAGTTCCGCGAGGAGGAACAGCTCCTGCAGGAACGGGAAGAGCAGCTGCGCAGGAGGGAACGTGAGCAGCAGCTGCGACAGGAGCGCGACAGGAAGTTCCGCGAGGAGGAACAGCTCCTGCAGGAACGGGAAGAGCAGCTGCGCCAGGAGCGCGACACGAAGTTCCGCGAGGAGGAACCGCTCCTGCAGGAAAGGGAAGAGCAGCTGCGCCGCCAGGAACGCGACAGGAAGTTCCGCGAGGAGGAACAGCTCCTGCAGGAACGGGAAGAGCAGCTGCGCAGAAGGGAACGTGAGCAGCAGCTGCGCCAGGAGCGCGACAGGAAGCTCCGCGAGGAGGAACAGCTCCTGCAGGAATGGGAAGAGCAGCTGCGCCGCCAGGAGCGCGACAGGAAGTTCCGCGAGGAGGAACAGCTCCTGCAGGAACGGGAAGAGCAGCTGCGCCGCCAGGAGCGCGACAGAAAGTTCCGCGAGGAGGAACAGCTCCTGCAGGAACGGGAAGAGCAGCTGCGCCGCCAGGAGCGCGACAGGAAGTTCCGCGAGGAGGAACAGCTCCTGCAGGAACGGGAAGAGCAGCTGCGCAGGAGGGAACGTGAGCAGCAGCTGCGCCAGGAGCGCGACAGGAAGTTCCGCGAGGAGGAACAGCTCCTGCAGGAACGGGAAGAGCAGCTGCGCCGCCAGGAGCGCGACAGGAAGCTCCGCGAGGAGGAACAGCTCCTGCAGGAACGGGAAGAGCAGCTGCGCAGGAGGGAACGTGAGCAGCAGCTGCGCCAGGAGCGCGACAGGAAGTTCCGCGAGGAGGAATCGCTCCTGCAGGAACGGGAAGAGCAGCTGCGCCGCCAGGAGCGCGACAGGAAGTTCCGCGAGGAGGAACAGCTCCTGCAGGAACGGGAAGAGCAGCTGCGCCGCCAGGAGCGCGACAGGAAGTTCCGCGAGGAGGAACAGCTCCTGCAGGAACGGGAAGAGCAGCTGCGCCGCCAGGAGCGCGACAGGAAGTTCCGCGAGGAGGAACAGCTCCTGCAGGAACGGGAAGAGCAGCTGCGCCGCCAGGAGCGCGACAGGAAGTTCCGCGAGGAGGAACAGCTCCTGCAGGAACGGGAAGAGCAGCTGCGCCGCCAGGAGCGCGACAGGAAGTTCCGCGAGGAGGAACCGCTCCTGCAGGAACGGGAAGAGCAGCTGCGCCGCCAGGAGCGCGACAGGAAGTTCCGCGAGGAGGAACAGCTCCTGCAGGAACGGGAAGAGCAGCTGCGCAGGAGGGAACGTGAGCAGCAGCTGCGCCAGGAGCGCGACAGGAAGTTCCGCGAGGAGGAACAGCTCCTGCAGGAACGGGAAGAGCAGCTGCGCCGCCAGGAGCGCGACAGGAAGCTCCGCGAGGAGGAACAGCTCCTGCAGGAACGGGAAGAGCAGCTGCGCAGGAGGGAACGTGAGCAGCAGCTGCGCCAGGAGCGCGACAGGAAGTTCCGCGAGGAGGAATCGCTCCTGCAGGAACGGGAAGAGCAGCTGCGCCGCCAGGAGCGCGACAGGAAGTTCCGCGAGGAGGAACAGCTCCTGCAGGAACGGGAAGAGCAGCTGCGCCGCCAGGAGCGCGACAGGAAGTTCCGCGAGGAGGAACCGCTCCTGCAGGAACGGGAAGAGCAGCTGCGCCGCCAGGAGCGCGACAGGAAGTTCCGCGAGGAGGAACCGCTCCTGCAGGAACGGGAAGAGCAGCTGCGCCGCCAGGAGCGCGACAGGAAGTTCCGCGAGGAGGAACAGCTCCTGCAGGAACGGGAAGAGCAGCTGCGCCGCCAGGAGCGAGACAGGAAGTTCCGCGAGGAGGAACAGCTCCTGCAGGAACGGGAAGAGCAGCTGCGCAGGAGGGAACGTGAGCAGCAGCTGCGCCAGGAGAGCGACAGGAAGTTCCGCGAGGAGGAACCGCTCCTGCAAGAAAGGGAAGAGCAGCTGCGCCGCCAGGAGCGCGACAGGAAGTTCCGCGACGAGGAACAGCTCCTGCAGGAAAGGGAAGAGCAGCTGCGCAGGAGGGAACGTGAGCAGCAGCTGCGCCAGAAGCGCGACAGGAAGTTCCGCGAGGAGGAACCTCTCCTGCAGGAAAGGGAAGAGCAGCTGCGCCGCCAGCAGAGAGAGGATCAGAGGCGCCGTAGCCAAGTCTGGGAAGAAGGAAACAAAGGCCGTAGGCAGGCTCTGGAGCCCGGCAAGCGTCCGTTTGCTAGTGTCCCGGTGCGCTCCAGTCCTCTCTATGAGTACATCCAAGAGCAGAGATCTCAGTACCGCCCTTAAGAGATGTTACCAATATCCCGACACCTGCCAAAGCTTCCAGCAAAAGATAATGAGGAAACACTGGATACCAAATAACTCAGATGTTTCTGGTTGTGGGAGAACTCTCTGATGTTTCAAAATCTTTTTTTCCAAAACTTTAAACTATAGTCATTTCATATACCTTGTACTCTCGCCTTTATTCTTTCTCAAGTAATCCTTTACTGCAGGGTGTCTTTATTCTTTGGTGCAGATGTGGTGTGCATTTTTTAAAAATATAAATCATTTAATTTGTTTAAGGAGTTTTATTTGGGGAACGTTAATTTATTGCTTTCAAGAGTAACAAGAATATGATTTAGGATTCAAAAGATTTGGGTCTTTAATAGTCCATCTTTTGGAGAGTTTAGATATTTTTAATGTTCCATTTGGCATTTCCCACAGTTAATTAATATTAACTACATTAATATTTATCTCCAAATAGACTCGCTTTTGTGGTATAATAGCACAGATTCTGCAAGTGGACCGAATCTTTATAATCCTTGAGTAGCACAGGGGGAGTGACTTCTACAGAAAATTCCCTGTAAAATCTGCCCCTAATTGGAAGAAATATCTATTATGAAGAAGGCTTAGCTTCAAGACTTAGAATTTGAATTAGAATTTTTTCCTACACAAGCACTTAAAATCTCATGAAGCAAAAGCAAGTTGTTTCTCAAACAACTCCAGAGTTCAAATTTTAAAACTGTCTACGTAGTCTGCAGTGCTCAGTTCTGTGCCCCCAGTCTTTGATGAGGTTAAGAATATTACTACCTTTGTTCATTTTAACTGAGAGGGAGCCTGCTCAGGATCTTGTAAACATATATTTAGCTTTAGAGCAATAAAAGATAACAGCATTTTGGGGGAGGGAAAGGGAAAATTTGTGAACAGAATGGCAAGTTTGTAGAGGCCCTTAGATGAGCCAAGACCCATCAGCCCACAATCCTTTGAGGCCTATTGATACTACGCTGGAGACATTCTTGTTGAAATGAGTGGACTATATAAAAAACAATAAAAGTTTGGCAAATAGTTATTTTTGTCTCTTTTGATTAAGCATTAAATAACTCAAGATCTAATGGTTTTTAACTGATGTAAGTTCCCATTTAAGGGTATTTGGATACTATTATCTATGTCTAAATATGAAAAAGGGGGAAAAATCTGTTTTCCCCAACCATTTTTTCTTGTTAGGGTGAGCCCTACATTATTTCCACCTCCAAGCTACAATTCTCTTTCCAGGGGTTTTTATTCTTCACTGCACAGCTTTCTGTTCTTTCAGGGACTCACTAGTCATGGTATATAAAATTGTTTGTATAATGTGTTTGTTAATTCTTCCTTCTGAGAATACAGCAGCTTCTTGGTCTCTGATGTCTGATAAGCCAATAGTAGAAAATGGCCTGAAAATTCAGTTCAATATTACAGAAATTGTAGGTGACCTGTTGACTTAAGCAGCATATCCCTGAGGTGACACAATCAGAAGATGCTTAATACTAATCAGACCAAAGTATAAAATTGTTATCTAATAATCCAAACACCCCTCTGCCACCTGCTGAAGTCTATATTCAGCATTCATACCTTAGCAACTAGGAATAAGTCCAAGAAGACCCTAATCCAGGATAGGATCGTTTCTAATTGTGAGGGTCCCAGGTGAGATGTTCGAAGTTACTTAACATTTTGATCAATGGTGGAGAGAATAAAGCTAAGCCTATAGCTCCTGAGAATCATTCTGGTAGAGTAAGGTGACAATTTCTGCAAGGAGCACTAGCGTCTCCCTCACTTTAACACAAATAGTAGATACCCACAAAAGGCAGAACCTGGGAATCCCTGATGCCCTTGGAACTTCATCTCTTTCAAATGATTTCTAACTGCAAAACTACTTTTCTCTTAAGGCAAGTGTAAACTTTTCCTTATTTAATCTTCCTGGAAACCCTGGAAGAGCCTCACTGGCTTTCTCCGGGATCCTCTCAATGGGTACCTCATTATAAATATCAGCCCCAGGATACTCCTGAAATATATACTCATCATATAAGCTACAATTCACCTATAATAAAAAACAATCAAAGCCCACAGGCTTCTTGCAGCACTTTACAAGATGAGGAAAGGGCCAATTTCCAAAGAAGAAAGTATTGTCTCATCACAGTTATAATAACATGTAGTTAGAAAAAAATGTCAGCCAGTCCATGCCCTATGGCTCTTCTTTTATTCATTGGCAGGAGATCATACTGGCAAGTCAACCTTCCTGCACCACCTAAATAATGTACGTGCATGGGCAGAACCTTGAGGCTATTGGGCAACTGGCTGCTTAACTATAAACTGGGAGCTCTATTAACATCACTGTGGCTGCTACTGGGGAATGGGGTTGAGAGCTGAATATATATGATCTGTAATGGAAAAGCTGGTCTCCACTTTATGGGCTGAATTATGTCCCTCCTATAGGTTCATATGGGAATTCCTAACCCTCAGCACATTAAAATGTAGCCATGTTTGGAGATACATTATTTAGGTAATTAAATTAAAATGAGGTCATTAGGTGGGTCCTAATCCAATTGAATGCTATCCTTATAAGAAGAGAAAACTTGGACATGGAGAGAGGGAAGATGATATGAAGACAAAGGAAGAAAATGGCCATTTACAAGCTAAGAATAGAGATCCTTGGAAGAGATCCTTCCCTCATGGCCCTCAGAAGAAACCAACCCTCCCAACATCTTCTTATACTTCTAACATCCAGAACTGTAAGAAAATAAATTTATGTTGGCTAAGCCACCCAGCATGTGGCATTTTGTACTGATAGCTCTAGCAAACTAATATATCATATAAGGTGAGGTTATGTTTCTAGGGAAACATCTGTATTTTAATGTGATGACCTTTATTTATCTTTTGACATCTTATAAGCAGATCCTGGTTCCTCAAAGACATTTTAGTAGATCTGCCATAGTTTAAATGGTACAGTGGAAAGACTGCTTCAAGGAACCAGAAGCCTGGGTTCATTCATTCATTCATTCAGCAAATATTTAATGAGTTCTTGCTATGTGCAAGGCATCCTAAGGCAATATGCATACAGTAGTGAAATAGTCCTTCTCACCTGTTTCTTCGTTTACTGTCTGTGTATCCTTGTGCAAGTCACTTAGGCTTTCTGGGCCTCGTTTTGTATTTTGAACTATGAGGTTGAAATGGTTATTACCAAGGTATTCCTAGGACTGGAAAAACATAATTCTAACATTCAGTTTGTCCAACTGTATGGGAGAGCAAGACCCTAGCAGGAAAAAGAAACAATAAGAACGGGGACACACATAAATGGCAACAGTTTTATGCGTATAGCAAAAACCAATTATCCCTCCCATCACTCCATACTCCAAACAGTACATGCTGAAACAACAATGATGGTAGATAGACACCAAGGCCTGCTGAGGTCAGTTCTCCCATCCCTATAGCCCCTGAGTTAATGCTCCTCTGAGACCCATGCAGACAGTCACAGATGCTGCCTACCCCTCACACAATTGGTTTCTAGAGTTGTTTTTCCTTCCTTGTTTCCACATACTTTACATTCTACAATAATAAAACAGAGCCAACCCAGACTTGGGGCTTCACCTTGACACCTTCACTTCTTGGCGGTGCCTGACAGTGTAGCGCCTTCAGGTCTTTGTCAAAGAGTCTGAGTAATCATTTCGTCTCTCATCGGAACATGCCACATGGCAAAACTGAACTTCTAAAAGCAACTCAAATAATGCCTCACCCCAGCTTCTACCTTAAACTAAAAGAAAGCAGGAAAAAGAATTAAATGATGGTAATCATCAGAGCCTAGTTTAACTTCAAAGATCTTGTCTTTCTAGCCAATCAGACCTGAAGTTCCTTCTATTTATCTCCCAAATTCCTCCCCAGAGTGTTTTCCTATCATCTAGGGCTTACTCACTGAGCGAAAAGACCCTAAACCTATCTCATTTTCTATGATTCTAGTACTATTAAAAATCATTGACCCTCTAATTTATGAACTTCACATATACATTTAATTACTCCCATTTGTTTCAGAGGAGAAAATGAAGTCCTAGAACTTGGTTCCACTCAAAATAAAAGTCAGTGGCCATTAGTTAAGTATGAACCCATCTCTGCTCTATCTTCTGCACTAATTATACATTGCTAGTATTTTCATTCAGTCCTAGTAATTAGTCTGCTCAGCAAGTATACTGGTATCGTAAGCCTCTGAAGATTGTGATCTATGTAATAAGCACATTTCCCTTCTTAGTTAAGAGCTGACAGTCAACAGGGCACCTGGATGGCATGGCTCAGCGGTTAAACTCTGCTTTCAGCTCAGGACGTGATCCTGGAGTTCAGGGATAGAGTCCCACATTGGGCTCCCTGAGGGGAGCCTGCTTCTCCCTCTGCCTATGTCTCTTCTCTCTCTCTCTCTCTCTCTCTCTCTCTCTCTCTCTCTCTCTCTCTCATAAATAAATAAAATCTTTTTTAAAAAAAGAGCTGACAGTCACATACAACAACCTAAAATTAATGTAAAGCATAGATTTCTGAGTAGGTCATAATTTTCCAAACCCTCTGGACTTCCACGGCAAGCACTCAAGTTACAAAAACTTAAAAATTTAATTTCTATTTGTCATCACTCCCCTTTAAAAGAAAAAAATGAGTGTGGTATTTTCTGCAAGATAAAGGCTAAGATCTTCAATTTGGAATTTAAAGCCCTCCACACTCTAGAGGTAATATATCTTTTAATCATGGCCCCCTCAATATCTCTTGAACCAAGCATGTTGTTAAAAGCACACTAGTCTATGTTGTCATCAGGACACCTTATGATTGTCCTTCCTTCAAAAGCTTACTGGCATAATTTATCTCTTTGGAATGCCTCCCTCCCTAACTACCTGGACACTTTCTAATTAGTTTAATAGACCCAGATTTAGTCCCACCTCTTCCTTTGAGTCTTCCCTAATCATTCAGACACATATTCACTGAGATTCCATGATAGCTATTATCTTTACTACTTACTCGTTAATTGATTACAATATTCTGCCTTAGTTGGCTCTATACTTGCTTCGTCTTCCAACTAGATAGTAAAGACCTTGAAAACAAAGACTACACTTTGGATTTCTTTATTTTGTATATTCTTTCCAGGATAAACAATAAGCAATAGAACTCTATGAAATTCTA